TTTCTCACTATATATACATATATATAATCTTCTACCTTTTATATCTCAAAACCACTCACTCTAATTTACCACCTCCACATCAGCCAGCCGAGCTATATAGGGTAAAGCTCACCACACTCCAATTCAGATTTTTCATTAAAATTGGCATGACTAGTATCCCACTGATGCTGTTACAAATTGTATAAACTTAATAGCTCGAAACAACCCAAATTTGTTATCTGAGAGTCTGGTAAGGTAAAGTCTGAAAACAGGACTAAAATCAAGTGTCATATGTCAGCAGGGCTACGCACATTACAGAGATCTTAGGGGGAGAGTCCTCTCCTTACCATCCTCCCCTTCTGGAGACCCCACGATAGGAACAATGAGTCCTGATGCTGAAAGTATTTTAAAAATCTAAAAAGGAGGAAATTCATCAAAATCCATGTACGATGCCAAAATTACTCTAACAACAAAACTAGACAGGGACTCAACAACAAAATAGAACTATAGAGCAGCAGTTCATCCCTAATGAACACAAGTGCAAAATTTCACAACAAAATGCTAGCAAGCCAAATCCAATAGGACAGCAGTAAGATAACTTGTCATTATCAATACATAGAACTGGAAGTCTTAGCCAGAACAGTTAAGCCAGAGAACAAACTGAAAGGCATGCAAATAAAAATGGAGGGGAGTGAAGTTGCTCCTGCCTGTGGGTGATCCAATTCTATCTGAAGAAAACCCTAGACTCCACCAGTAGACCATTAGAACCGATAAATTCAGTGAAGGTGCAGAATACAAAACCAATATACAAAGATCAATAATCAATAATGACATTGATAAAAAAGAAATTGTGGATGTAATCCCATTCATAGTTGTTACAAAGAAAATAAAATACCTCGAAGTAAATTCAACCAAGGAAGTGAAAGATATCTACAATGAAAATTATATGTATGAATAAAAATTAAGTGTTGAAGAAGATAGATTTACCCTGATTTGATCATTTGATCATTTGATTATAAAAGTATTATAGTGTATCCATAAAATTGCATATTAAAATAATAACTACAAAATTTTAAAAAGCTGAGGTTATAGCTAGTTCAGTGTCAGAGTACTTGTTTAGCATGTGTGAAGTCCTGGGTTTCAGGAGAGAGAGAGAGAGAGAGAGAGAGACTGTTTTCATAAAAAAATCATTGTGATTATATTGTTCACCCCTGACAGTGCAAAATAATCTTCCCACCTCAAGATCTATCGATTTGTCACACCTACCATGTGAATATGCAAATTAACATATTCAGATTTCTTTTTTTAATTTTTATTTATTTATTTATTTATGTGTGTGTGTGTGTGTGTGTGTGTGTGTGGCCAGCTCAGCCCACCAGGGGGCGGGGCTGGCTGGCATGTGGTGCTGGGGGATTGAACCGTGGTCCCTGTGCTTTAGCAAAGCTTGTTCTAAGTAGGTGCTCCAGACCACTGAGCCATCTCACCAGCCCCAACATATTCAGATTTCTTTGCTATTAATTTTGCTGTTGGCAGTTGAGCTCAGCACCTCACACTTGCCAGGCAGGTACTGTGCCACGGCATTGTATCCTCAGCCCTCTTATTTACAGAATCTGGGTATTAAGACTTGTATTCGAAGGGCTCTTGTTGCCACAAGTACACTAGCCTAGTTGGGCTCTTATTCATTAGGTGCCCAAGTCTGAAGGAGGCTCGTAATACTGGTAGCGACATAAAGATAAATTAAGTGTGCTTCCTATCCTCAAAGAAAGGACTGACTAATGAGAAGGACAGACACAAGGACAAAATATGATGATATATTATGATAAGGACTGTATAGAAAAAGGGAATGTCTAACATCAGCCATCAGGTAGAATTCAGAGCTACTTTAAAAAGTAAACTTTCCGTACCATCATGAAATATGGGCAGTTCTCCATGCAGACCCAAGGTAAGATGTGTCCTGTGCAGACAGACTGGGCTGTAGAGAGGCTGGGGGCTGAAGAGGAAAAATTAGGAGCTCTGAGTGAGTGTATACCACATGTCAGAGCTACAGTTTGCTAAGTCAGAGCTGAGCCAATTATACCTTTCCTCAGGAGTTCACCTTCTTTTTGGTGTGTTTAACTTGTCAGCAGTGAGAATGCAATAAAATCCCAGCCAAAGAGCAATCATTTTGTAATCAACATTTGTATCTTAGAAAATCTCAGTCAGCTGGCAATGGGAGATAGATTCAATGGAGAAGTTATGGGAGGTGGGGAAGCTCATTCATTAATTTTGTTATTACTGAGCAGCTACTACATGTTCACATTGTTCTGACTGCTGGATACACAGAAGTAAATTAAAAACAGCTCTCAGAGTCCTGAAGTTTATTTGCTAGTAAGGTAGAGAGGCAATAAACAAAATGAGTGAGCCACACAAGAGATTCAAAGGGAAAATTAAAGCTGTAGAGTGAGAGAGCAAGTGTTGAGGATTATGATGTTAGATAGCGCAGTCTTCAGAAACTTCAGTGAGAGCATGTTATTGGAGTAAAAATCTAAAAGGAGTGACAGGACCATGCAACTATGTGGCCAAGAGGATGCCCCAGTAGAGCCCATGGACAGGCCAAAACCCTGAGCAGGCATGTGCCTGACCTATCAGAAGAAGAGTAGAATGTGCCTGCTGCAGTCAGAGTGAGAAAAGGGTCAGAAAGGTAACAGGATCATGAGACAAATGCAAGAAAAGATGAAGGCTCCAAAATTAAACTGATACAGGGTCCCTGATGAAGGATAGTGGCTATAGTAAATGGTTTCTGCATTAGATAAGGTGGTACATGATGGCTACGTTCATTATAAAAGGAGGAATCATAGATACCAAAGGTTCTCCCTGGGGTTTCTGGTGGAAGGTAATGTCATTAATTAGGGAAGAGAAAATAAAGGAACTAGGGTCATGAAGAAATCTGTTCTGTTCTATGTTGAACTGGAGATATCTGAATGCAAAAAGAAGGAATCAAAGGCAAGCAGGAAAAAACTGATTTGTGCTCAGAAGAGAGGTGAGATGGACAGAAAGATGTTGTCTAGAATGCCAGTTAAGTCCACAAAGGGAGTGAGATTAATTGCTTAAATAGTATTATAGATTAGGAAAGGGACAAAGGATGGAACTATAAAAAATAGTAACTTTTAGGGGATTGGACTAAGGAGAGGAGAAAGCAGGAAAGAGCCAGAGAAAGAGTATTTGGGGTAAAAGGAGAAGAAACCAAGTGAAATCAACAGGTGTCCTCTTCTGTTTCTAACGGCATCTTTTGATGGCCAAGGAATCAAGCAGTATGTATGGCTTTGGCTATCCATATTGTTTCTCTTTCTCATATCTCTCAATCCAGTTTGCTCTAATTGTTTTTTCCCTTTGTTACCCACCACTCTCTCCCCCTTACAGTTCTTCCTTTCTTCCAGTAACCTTAGTCTGTTGATCTCTGATCTAGTTCTCAGTATTAGAGAAATATTGAATCACCTAGATTAGATGAATATTTATTGTAAAGCAAAACAAAAGTCTGTGAAGATAATTCTATTGTGGTTTGAATCTGGAACATTCTTCCAAAGTGTCCTACACCCAGAGACAGGCTTTTGGAAGGTGCTTGGTCCATGGGGTTGCTGTACTCATGGATGGCTTGGTCACCAATGGCTCCAGAGCTGCTGTGCTGTTAGGAGCTGGGCCTGTTGGAGGAGGTGCATCATGAGTGCGGACCCGGAAGGGTAGAGCTCCCTCCTTGGTGTCTCTCTTCTTTCTGTCTGCTGGCTACATGCAGTAAGCAGCTTTCCTGCACCCAGGCCTTTCCACAGTGATGATTCCGCATTTGAACCTAATGAACACATACACCTTAACGGCCTCACTTCCTTTAAGTCAGTTATTTTATCCCATCCATAGGAAAGTTACTAAGCCAGTTTCCCATTACTGTTGTTTTTTTGGTTTTCTTGTGTATTAAAAAAAAATAGCATCAGCATCAGTAATTTGCAAACTGCAAAATTTCCTTGTTTGTCAGACTCTACAATATCAATATTTTTTATTGTTTTTGTTTTGGATATGAAGTAGGACTTACTGGAAGGCAGGACTAAGGGGAAAGCAGCGTGGAAGAAGGCTTTATGGGTGCAGGGCCTTCCACTCATTCAGTGGACCATGACTGAGGATAGATTGGATCCCACATCCTGTGACTTCAGGTTCATCTGCATTAATCTTGGGGAAGTCTCACTTATTTGAGATAGGGATTGAACTTGGTCCTATAGGGGCTAGTGACTCTGATTGGGTTAATTTTATCCTAGAAAAAGAAGCTCTAGTTTAGCTTTCCCCACCATTAAGATGTTGTCACTCCTTCACTCTTTCTCCAAACTTGTTAAGATGTTGTCACTCCTTCACTCCTTCCCCACCCTTGTTAAGGTGTTGTCACTCCTTCACTCCTTCCCCACCCTTGTTAACATGTTGTCACTCCTTCACTCCTTCCCCACCCTTGTTAACATGTTGTCACTCCTTCACTCCTTCCCCACCCTTGTTAAGATGATGTAAACATAAAAGAGATAAAAGGAAAACAGAACTGATTACAAAGAATCCTGGGACTTCTTGAGTCAACCATTGCATGCCATCATGGTTACCATGGAAACCAAGATGGTATTTAAGCAGAGAAAAAAACAAACAACAAGGCTGGACATGTTTCTGATCTGTAAGGATCAGGGGAAGCATGTTCAGATGCCAAGCATTTAAGATCTGTAACCTGGAAAGGATCTGATCACCGACCTTATTAATAAACTCTTTTTTTTTCTAATTTTCAGTCTGATGTGGAAAAAAACATTCTCACCATTTAAGTCCTGCATAGGGCTTCAATCACATGATCCTTGTTCTACAGTTTGATGTGGACAGACACAATGACTCAGCCAATGTGAACCCAGGGCACCATCCCCTCAGGCTTCATGAAGGGACCCTGTGTGCCTTTCTGAAACCTACACTGGGAAGAGCATGAGGTCACAGATAAGAACACACACTAGAAAGAGTTGTTTCCTTAGGGTGCCCCATATAAGTTACATGGGGAAAGTACTTTCACAGTGGATGCTTTCTATAGCCATTGGAAGCTAACTTATTTTAATGCAGGGACCATGTGTTTTGGGTTGAGTGCACCTGCCCAGGCATTAATCCTAGGCTACAGAGCAATGCACCAGAATTCTATCTTATTCTTTCTTATTTTTCTTTTCCAGTTCCAGCAGCAGTTACTAATCTGAGGATCACAGAAAACTCCACTAGGCATCTATCCTTCAGCTGGACAGCCTCTGAGGGGGAGCTCAACTGGTACAACATCTTTCTGTACAACCCAGATCGAACTCTTCAGGAAAGAGCGCAAGTGGACCCACTAGTCCAGAGCTTCTCTTTCCAGAACTTGCTACAGGGCCGAATGTACAAAATGGTGATTGTCACCCACAGTGGGGAGCTGTCCAATGAGTCATTCATATTTGGCAGAACAGGTAAGATGCAGTCGGACCCATGTGATGGTGCATACCAAGGAAACTCTGCCCACTGGCTCTTGCTGGATTCATTTTTACTCCCTATTCTATCCAGGGGTAGATTTATAGAAGTTTGTAAACCTCAGGCTTTTGGACCCTAAATTAGATTTTGGATTATGTGTGAATAATTTTTGGCCAACTTTTGCATTGGTTTCTGCTCTTTTGCCTTACTTATTTGCCTCATAGGATTTGGTGGGAAATAAATCTGACTCCTCTACTTCCTGGCAAATTATACAAGAAGGTTGAACCCATCTTGGTTCTGTTCAGTCAGTGCTGTTCAGCTTTCTACAAGAAACAGATGGAACAGAGGGCAGGTCCAGAGAAGAGCAGCCACAAATGGGGCAAACAAACCAGAAACTAAGTAATCCATGAATTGAGCACATGGTAGTGCATGAAAGAAAATGAAGAGTTCCAAGAAATGTGTGTGTGTGTGTGTGTGTGTGTGTGAGAGAGAGAGAGAGAGAGAGAGAGAGAGAGA